ACGATCACACAAAACAGTTGTCACTATAAACTCTGCCGAAACTAGTCCTTACCTTCTGAAGCAACGGTAGTCGGCTTATCGACTCAGGAATGTTAGCTCTATGCGCTCATAGCGGCAAAACGTGGTACTACAAAAGCTCTGCCCACAAAAAAATTAGTTCGGTTTCTTTTGGGTACCCCATCGTATATAATTGAAAGATGTTTTATAATGTTTTACAGGAGACCTTTTAACAAGAAGTTCTGGGAACAACTAATCACCTACTTTCTTTTCACTGTAATTTGAGTATCTGGAACAAGCAGAAATAAAACTTTACTATATATGGGTAATGAAGTCAATAAGACAATACAATTTTGGAGGCTTCAGTATTGGTATTATTGATGGGAGTTATTTATAAAGTACACTGTTGAGATGGCCTCAGGTGGCATGAGATACATACCAAGTCTCATGAACTCTGGTTTGTACATGCAGGTAATATTAAGGCTATAACCTTGACAGTCTCAGAGGCTGAAGGGTTGAAATTACTAATGGGAATGATTTATGATGCATGCCATTAATATGATCTCAGATGGTATGACATATACATATGTTTCATGACATTTGGTTTGGGAATTCTAGTAATATTAACAATATTACCTCAAGAGATTGAGAGGTTGTAGCGTTGGCATTAGTGAGAAGAGGGATTTCTTATGTACACCACTGAAATTGCTTCAGGTAGCATGATACACATGCAAAGTCTCATGGCGATCAGTTGAAGAATGCTAGTAATATTAAGGATATTACCTCAGTCTGAGAGTTTATGGTGTCAGTATTACCAATGTGAGGGATTTATGATGTAGGTCGTTGAAATGGGCTCAGGCAGTACAATATGTACCATGTTCCATTATGATCGAGTTCAGGCATTTAAGTATGAGTACGGTTATTACTGCAATAATCTGAGAGACTGTAAAGTTGGTAGCACTGTTGACAGGATTTATGAAGTACACTGTTGAGATGGCTTCATGTGGCATGATATACATACCAAGTTTCATGAAGATCGGTACAAGTGTTCAAGCAATATTAAGGTTCTGCCCCAGAAATCTGAGAGGTTGTAATGCTGGTATTACTGATGGGATGGTTTTATGAATTACGCTATTGGGCTGGCCTCAGGTACCATGATATGCATACCAAATTTCATAAATATTGGTTTGGGCATTCAGATGTTAATTCAGGGGGATATGCATACATATACACAGAAATAGGGATGAACACACAGTATTATATAAAATATCTCTATTCAAAAAGCAACTAAAGCAGACTCTGTGCAAATCAGGCAATGTGCATAGTATTTACTTTGCCACCTTTTCAGTGCTGCCAACATCACTTGTGATGCAATATAAAAACTATTTTTATTATTTGACTTTCTAACTGAAGAAAGAAACTCTTACCTACATACACATGGAATGGATGTAGCATGTTTAATCTTAGCCACTGTCGCTGTCACTCTCACCAGACTGATAATCTTCCACACGTATAGAAAACTTGTATTCTTGATCACAACCGAGATAAGCATCACTCATGAAATACAAAGTGTATGTGTGATGCCCTGAAACAGCAATTTGAACTGTAGTAAGAGATACAATCCAAACAGACTCTAAACATGAATTGCCAATAACCTTGAAAACATTAACTGTCAGGCTAAAGGCACTGAACACAAATAAACATGAATCAAAAGTGAACAGAATTATCTTAAGATAGTAACTTCACTCCACTCTCTGCCTTAACCTTCAGCTGTAAGAAACAATAATACAATATTCTAAGGGAAGATAATATTCTTAATCCTGTAGTGAAAATATGGTTCAAATTCTTATGTCGTTAAACAACACTGAATTGTGATATAGCAAAATTACCAGAAACCACAATGTAACTCACCTGGACTTGGAGCAACAAAATCTAACTTAACTTTGGATTTCTGCTGTAAATTGAGTCTCTTTATTGACAGCAATGAGTTCATCTTGGGATCACCGATCACTACCCACCATCCTTCCTCTCGTTTCTGTTTAAGAAATTAGGTCACACACGTTAATGTTACCAGAGCTGTTAACATGCGAGTACAAGTATTCATTATAACAGACTGTCTTCATGCCCATATCAAAGGTTCAGAAGTAAACAAATGGTGAAGGACGGAAGAAGCTCAGATAATACACCATGCACACATTTCTGTCCTCTTACATATTTACTGCTTCTTAGTAATCTTCCACAAAACTAAAAACTGTCACAATTTTGCATAACCCCCATTAAATAAATGCAGTAGCATAGTTGGTTGAGGCACTATGCTACAAGCTGGAAGGTCATGGGTTCCAGTCCTGATGAGGTGGATTATTTCAACTGACCTAATCCTTCCAGCTGAACTATGGCCCTGGGGTTCACTCAGCCTCTAACAAAAATGAGTACCAGGAATCTTACTGGGGGGTAAAGGGCAGCTGGCATATATGGCTGACACCCTTACAGCTATCTGTGAGCCAACTGGATAATGTGGGACCCTCAATGTCTTGCAGCCCGATTACCATTTAAGAGTCTAGCGACACCGTGTGACACCGTATGGGTACGTGCAGTCCACACATGTGCACAGTGTTTTAAAATCTAATTTTAAGATAGAAATTCTTGTTCTACTTACATCATTTTTGGGCACCTGCTTTATAATTAGACAGTCTTCCCTCCTATGTCATCTAACTGAATTCAGAGTCTGACGTCACAATTCATGCATTTTGTCCGGATGTAACTCCATTTCCCACGCGAAGAACACACACGACACCTCACTCTCGTATTAGAGGAAGTTGGCCAGTGATGTCGAGTGGCCTCCTCTNAGTCTTCCCTCCTTTGTCATCTAACTGAATGTTGTATCTAACTGAATTCAGAGTCTGACGTCACAATTCATGCACTTTGTCCGGATGTAACTCCATTTCCCACGCAAAGAACACACATGACACCTCACTCTCGTATTAGAGGAAGTTGGCCAGTGATGTCGAGTGGCCTCCTCTAATTGTAACGCTTATAAAACATCGCAATTTCAACTATCCAACATGGCCTCATTTCGCATGGAAGAAGCCGAAATTGAGAGGCCACTGATAAATGACACCGATTCAGAATGCGGTACAGACGACTCTGAAAGTGGCGAGGAAGCAAGGGGGATATGCGGGGGTATTCCGAGAACAGTACCTCTGTGTGGCTAGTCCGAGATATACACAGTCAGAGTTTCTGAAGGACAAAGTACGATAAGACTTCGCCCACACTTGTGCATGCAGAAAGGTTCCGACTGACTGGAGAATGTGCAATACAAACATAAACTTCCTCCCCTTTTGCCAAATAAGACGTAGTAAGACAGGATGTCAGCAGCATGCATTTATACTGGAGAAACGTTTTGTGCAGAAACTGTATACATGTTTGTGGACAGACACTCAAAATTGGGGGAATTTTTTTTTTTGAATCAGTGTAACAATTTTTACAGATTTTAAAATCTGTAAATTATAACATCTGATTCTATAGTCTTTCTACATAAAAGCAGCATTTATTTCATTCGTTTATCACAAAAATTGTAGAAATCACAGCATTTTCAGTAACATGCTTACAATTTTTAATACTCTACAATGGCAAGCATTTAAAGGGATAGCTGCACCTTTTTTTTTATAGTTTTCCTTTAGAAACTATGTCACTCAACTGGCTTATCTTCTATACAAAAGGGGTTCATTTCTAGGTTCATAAGAGACTGCCACTGGACGATACCATGGGCCAGACAAATCCGCACACTCAAGCACTATCTCTCCCATGTTAATAATATCCACCCATGTATTCCCATTTCTCCCAAAGGAGGCTCCTCCCCTCAGGTTCTCTGCCTAAAATTTGGTAAGAATTTCTCATCCCTTCCATTTACACCAAGGTAAATGAAGAAAGCTTATAAATTACACATCAGAATGATTTAAATTAGAATGAATACAGCAACCTTCTATAACATATACAAGAATCACTGAGATCAGTCTCTTGCATTTATTTCCCTTAGAACAGAAACACAGCACGCCCCATTTATTTTCGCAGTCTCCAACCTTTCCAATTTAATAGCAGCCTGATAGTGGGTTACATACAGCAATTAAATATACTGTTCTGCTAATGGAATATCCTTCAGAAATGAGTGCAAGATGCACGAAGACGCAGCACTGGGAAAAGGCTATTGCATTATCTGATACACTACATGAATGTCTAGTACCTAGAAACTATAGTATATACCTGTGGATAGAATGGAGCAATCACTGGTCCAGTGACTTCATCCTCACGTTCCAGTTGCACAGTAACAATGACAGAGGAACCACTACGGATGCTATCCTCATCCTCCACTTGATATTTCATGTCAATGTTAGGATAACGATTACAAAACCTGGCAACGTCTGCCATCTGTGCATCAGTCAGCTGTAGCAATTTTGAACGGACATCATCCTCTAATTCCATTATATCAAAAACTGTCTCCACACCCTGAATCAAACAAAACAACACACACATATATATATATATATTTANCTGCGAGTCACTGGAATGTAGCTTGTCAACAAATTTCAGCTTTTTGTGATTTATATATACTACATATCATCTGTGGAGAATGTACATCAGTTTTACCAAACTGTCCCTGACAGCAGCAACAACATTTCTATGAAACTTATGCAACCCAGTGCTGGCTGAGTCACCATAGCAATATTTTGAAGGGGAAAGAACAGTATGATAGAGGAAAAAAGCAGTAACAGCACCACCAGCAGTGTTTCATGGAAACAGAATTATCGTGGTAGTTTCATGAGGAGCTGATAAAAACAGAAAATGTGTCAGGCGGTCTCGCAATCATCAGTATGCCTCAACCTAACTGGGCGGTGCATTGAGCTGTACTTCATTCTAACAAAGTTTTTAATATATAAAAGAGATATGTAAATTAAAATACTATGCCACTTAACGAAAGATGTTCTTTATTTGATGAATAAAATCTTTTTATAAAATATAGCTGAAAATATTAATCTTCAAGATATACACACTGAACATATTACAAAAGTCATGTGGACATGTTTCTCTCCTTCCCTGGATCACATGTTTCCCATATTTATGCAAACACCTACCTAAAATTTGTGCAAAATCAAATCCAAGTCATATGCAAGGAAACAGATGAAGACCAAATTGAACTTCATCAACTTAAATAAATTATCAGTTACTCATTCATCTCATGTTTCTAACATTACTGTCATGAAACTGAAAAATATGCAAACCGTATCATAAATTTACTGTACTAGGTATATAAGTAAGACAATATTTCATATTAATATTCATAGTTTCTTAAATTTTTGCCTTTGAAAAACAGGACCCATCTTAAACTGTGGCCTTTGTGTTTTTAAAATCTACATTGCACATCGTATTCTTTGATTATCATGTTCCCCATCTTCTCCAGTAGACTAAACAAGCAGCAGTGAATTACATGCTGGCTTTTGCTGGTACATATAATTTCTGAATATCATGAAGTATATACTGGACAAATGTCCATTTTACTGGAATCCTGATCCATTAAAAACTCATACTAATAAAATAAGGTGGACTTATGTGCATACTTAACTGACAGTGTTTTTTTCTGGGTCATCAGATTTTACCTATACATTTCATTTCAACTGTTCCCTCACTTTGTCAGCACCACTTACAGTAGATATACTCACCTTCTCTGTGCACCTCTTGATGATGTCAGGTGTGAAGTGTGGAAGTTGTTTCAGATATGAATCCTTACTCCACATAGCCTGTGTAACCATCTGAGCCAATTCCATAGCTGCTACTGCAGGAGACAGCCAACCACTGGAACTCAGCACATCCACACAAGCTTGAATCAAGCGAATTGCCTTGCCAAGAATGGCTTCTGTGTCTCCCTGTAGCTCTGCCCCCAGCTGAAGTCGAGACAGATGGGCCTGAAGAAGCAGATTTGTTTTGATATGTGGGTCATTGTATTTGGGAGATCCTGCCAACTTGTTTGGAAGCCGTGCTGCCAAACTGCGAAGCAGATTATCTTCATGGTGGCGCACTGGTACATCTTCATATTCTGCAGCAGAAGAAATGATTTCCAGCAACCCACGAATCTTTGTCTTGTTATTAAGGGACAGACTGAACAACTCAATTGTGGTGTAGTTGATGTAGTAATATGCTGCAATCATGCCCAGGTTCAATGGCATACAGTCAATCTCTTCTTCAATACTGATGCATTTTGATTGTTCCAGATCATTCAGAGTATTTTCAACAAGTTCTGAAAGATGATCAGATAAGTGCCTGTGGGTAACTCCCTGAAGATTATAGTAATTTGGGTTTTGTGTGAGCCTGCGGTAGATGAAAGTCCAAGTCAGATAATCTACTGCATCCTGCTTGTTCTCAATGGTTTTGGTCACAATCTCTGCATTGAAATGATCGTGCAACCTATGATCCAGATGGCTCTCAACTGGCAATGACTCATTGAGGAATTTCTTGAAGAAGTCCTTTTTAGAGCTCTGACACATGAGCACACACTTTGCATCATCATCCTCTAGTGGACGATTGGCACGGCCCACCATCTGCAGAACATCAGTAATGGGATAGTCCTCATATGCATGAATTTTGCCATTGTAAAACTGTGTATCCATGATAACGACCAAGTGTGCAGCTATGCTGACACCCCAGCACAGGTTTCGTGTCACAACTGCTACCTGTACAGCTCCTGAATCAAACAATTGCTCTACAAGCCGGTGGTCACTTGGTGTAAGACCTTCATGGATATAAGCCACTCCCTGTGAGAGTGTCTCTTTCAATGTCTTATCTGTCATACGGTCAAGGAATGGCTTGATGTCCTCTTCTTCAGCATGGAAGAATCTATTGGGCTGACCCTCAGCTGCAGTGAAGGTCAAGAGATCTATCGCAGTTAGTCGAGCTTGTTTCCGTGTAGGTACAAAGACAATTACAGGCTTGTGGGGACTATGTTTCAGAATTGAATTGTACACTGGTTTGGTCATTGCAATGAGACGGGATGCATTATGTGTGACATTGAAACCTTGAACGTGCAGCTCAAGTGGAATAGGTCGAACACTAGGATGGAAATTAAATGTAGCATTGGCATTGCAGCCCAGCCACTGTGCAACATCACGGGCATCAGCGAGAGAAGCAGACAGTGACACTATCCGGATCTGTCGTTCAATTTGTGAAGACATGTATCGCATCCTAGAACAGACCACTTCTAACACAGGACCATCTTCACCTCCAATCAACTGTAGTTCATCAACAATAAAGAGCTGAATGTTTTGTACATTCTTCCTTTGTTTCCACCGCCTTGACAGAATGTCCCATTTCTCAGCAGTGCAAACTATTACCTGTCCTTTAGCCAGTAACTTCAAGTCAGTTCCAGTCTCACCAGTCAGGAGTACCACTTTCTTCCCTAGCACACCACCGAACTTCTGTTGCCAGTCAGCAAACACCACCTCTGCTAGAGCATCACGAGGGACAAGGTATACACAGCGGCCATCAGGATTCTGTGACAGAAGTCTCAGTACTGCAAATTCAGCAATTGTTGTCTTTCCTGAGCCAGTTGGGGCTCCTATGAAAATGTTGTCATCACTATTGTAGACAGCATTGAACACCTGTGTCTGGATTGGATTGAACTGTGGAAATTTATCTATGTATAGAGATTCAAACTCAGGATTTCTCAAAGCTGTTACTGGAAGGGGCTGAAGATCCAAAAGTTCTGTTGGAGGGAGATTCTTTTCTGGCAGAATAAGATGTCTGAAGGAGACTGGTAGCTGAGTCTCTGCACCGAGCCATCGATCTGACACAATTCTCAGAAAATACTGTGGAGGAAGTGGTTCAAAAACTGGTACAAAGAACTTGATAAGATGTTCATCTGTTGCATACTTGGATTTTAGAAGAAAATATTCATGATGCAAGATCACTTCGGAGTCCACATCTTCCACCAAAATCCAAAATGCTTCAGATGCCCCATGTAATTTTTCATCCCACTGGAAGTCAGGCGTGACTGTCAATTCAATACGCAATGTTGACCTTGTTATAGGTTGGATGTGTGTAGACAACTCAAGCTTTGGAAACTGATGTACATACTTGTGGATTGTTTTGCCCAACTTGGGCAAACGAATCAGCTCTCCAATTTCATTTGGATTTAGATCATACAACCTAGAAAAATTAAATACTGCTATCAGAATTGGACACAGGATCCACACATCAGGACTTACACTTTGATTTCATTTGAAAAATTTAAATATTATAAAACATTAAAGACTATTATACTATTTAATTATAAAAATGGGGGGCACTGAAGGAATGATCGTTAAATTTAACATAGATACAAAAGTCATGGTTTCATGACTATGTCAAGTTAACAGATGTAAGGTGTAAATATACTGTGACATGGATGGTGCAACAGGAAGTAGGGGTCACGTGAACTGTGCAGTTTTGTGAGTGACATCACATAACCCCACTCCTTCCCTCATTACGCAACACTCAATAAACACCCCCTCCTGCGATGATGTAACAGCACTTCCCACAGTGACGTAACAGGGGACACCGTAGTTACTACACAGCAATAAACAACTCTCAGCAGCATTCCCCAGCACCGCCTGTATACACGGTGTTTACGCAACAGTGAAGCGATGTGGGTTTTCCGCTGTCTGACTGAAGGTTTATAAGGGAGACTGGAATGCGTAAGGAGAGAGTTAAAAATGTAGCAGCTGCCAAAGACAGTTGAAGTCTAGCAGCTGCCGAGTTGAGTTGCAGCAAGTGAATTGTGAACGTGAAGAAGACGTTACAAGTCTAGCAGCCGTGGAAGAAGAACCGAACGCGTGATAAGAAGAGTTTATGTGTGATACTCAGTGACAGTTTGTGGTAACTGAGAAGGTACTGGGAGTGTGTAATTCAGTGACACTTGTATAGCTCCCGTGTTATAAATATGTGAATAATACTGAAGAGATTATTGTGTGGGGTTTGTAAATTATCTAAACCCGCAACAGTAGTTGTAGTCACAACTTGTAGGTTGTTAAATAAACCAATTAACAATCTGAACTGCATCTTCAGTAGCAAAACACGTTACAATATGATAGCTACTGTGTTAGTTATGAACCAAGAATGATGAAATGGTGATAGTGTTTAACAGAATTCCAAAATGTAGTTCATATACGAGCATCATACCAAGCTAATGTTATCGATAAAACATCTTTTAATGAAAGACTTTTTGTAAATTCTGGAATACGGAGACAATCACCAAAAAATGTGTACTGCAACACTGACACTATTCTAAATCCTTGATTATCCACCATAAATATATATAGTTGTAAAGCAGTCCCATGAATTATAGCTTAAATAAATATCATTTCAGAATTTCAACTGAAAAGAAAATAAATGAAATGTTAGAAAAACTGTAGCGTGCAAAGAACCCTAACCTCTCCCATGGAAAATTCTTCTTTTCAATTTTCTTCACAATTTCTTCTGGCATTTTACGGAATTGGCGAAGAGGTGACATGGACTGCCACATGCGTCGATCCACCATTTTACACAGTGACAATGCTTTGTCGGCCAACTGCGCCCAGCCTCGGTACAAAACTGGTGACATCAAACACATAACCAAGTTAGTTCCACAGGAGAAGCTGATCTTGAGAAATAGGCTTATGGCTACTCTGGCCTGTCATAAACAACATGCAACTTGATGAGAAACAGTGATCGGTAACTTGAGAAATGGGCTTATGGCTACTCTGGCCTGTCATAAACAACATGCAACTTGATGAGAAACAGTGATCGGTAACTTGAGAAATAGGCTTATGGCTACTCTGGCCTGTCATAAACAGCATGCAACTTGATGAGAAACAGTGATCGGCAACTTGAGAAATAGGTTTACGGCTACTCTGGCCTGTCATAAACAGCATGCAACTTGATGAGAAACAGTGATCGGTAACTTGAGAAATAGGCTTATGGCTACTCTGGCCTGTCATAAACAGCATGCAACTTGATGAGAAACAGTGATCGGTAACTTGAGAAATAGGCTTATGGCTACTCTGGCCTGTCATAAACAGCATGCAACTTGATGAGAAACAGTGATCGGTAACTTGAGAAATAGGTTTACGGCTACTCTGGCCTGTCATAAACAGCATGCAACTTGATGAGAAACAGTGATCGGTAACTTAACAAATTATGAAATATGCAGAAAGCATAACAATTCACACCATGTTTTTTTTTTTTAATTTTATTATCTCAGAAACCTCAAGACTTAGGATTTATGTACAACTGTATTGTGAATAAGCATATTTCATTTCTCCCTGCTGCTTTGTTCCAAAATGTATTGATAAAAATTTGGCAAGTTACACAATGTGTCGAAAAATTTTAGAAAACCTCCCCAACATAAAATTTCATACAAATTTTATCTGTGGCTCCCAAGTTTTACATGCAAACAGTCTGATGACCATGGTGAAGATGACAAGGCATATTTTTACTACTTCTCATAACAAACCAGTCAACAAATCAACTCTTAACACAAAGCCATGCTGTTAGAACCTACCAATTTCAAAAATGGCACGCATGAGTCGAGCAGCAGACTGTGTAACGTAAACCATGTCTGACATCAAAGCAAAGCCCTCAAGTTTCAATTGTGAGATGTAAGCCTGAAGCAAAACATTCACTTTTGCACTTGGCTCTTCAATGCTCTCCTTGATGGGAATTGGCACACGCTCCATCAGCTTCTGCAGTTCCAGCTTCTCTTCCTCCCTAACAGTGATGTTACGGAACTCGCCAGATAATGAGAACACTCTGAAAAAGAATATAAAATGATATTAATTCCCTAATTTATACAAGTATCAATTTAACTGAATTAATCAGTTTAATATTTAAGACATTTAAATATAATATATTTCAATGTACTCTGCCTTTTAATATTCTATACTCTCCTATACCAATGCATCAACTTTAAAAACATACACATCTGTTATGGCTACTAAAAAAATCGATTTTAGATTTAATTTTTACAATTACATTTCTCTAGTAGACCTAATGTTGAACAAAATTAATCCCTTCAAATATCTGAATAATTTTGATCTTCTACATGCATACAATTATTTTGTATCAAGCAGGCTGGCTATGTGCTAACATATCTGACTTGTATTCAAGTGGTACCTAGTTCTATTCTTGATCAAAGTACTAGCTATCCAGATTTGGATATGCTGCTTGGTTCTCCTTAGTCTTTTCTGGAACAGTGACAAGTTTCAGTTCACTGAGCCCTGTCTTCAAAGATCTGAAGATGAGAATTTGCAACATCAGTTTGAATAAATCTAATGCACTAAAAATACGAATGTTTAAAATTCTCTACAAAACAAAGCTGTACATGCAAGTGCACTGCTTTAATTATTTATCATATATCTTAAATCATGTTGGGAACTTTGTAACAAATTACAGTTAGTGCTCATAGAATAGCTCTGCATTAGACTCTCCTCACCTACTGTGCATGCCAGAGAATAGCTCTGCATTACACTCTCCTCACCTACTGCGCACTTCAGAGAATAGCTCTGCATTACACTCTCCTCACCTACTGTGCATGCCAGAGAATAGCTCTGCATTACACTCTCCTCACCTACTGCACACTTCAGAGAATAGCTCTGCATTACACTCTCCTCATCTACTGTGCATTCCAGAGAATAGCTCTGCATTAGACTCTCCTCACCTACTGTGCATGCCAGAGAATAGCTCTGCATTACACTCTCCTCACCTACTGCGCACTTCAGAGAATAGCTCTGCATTACACTCTCCTCACCTACTGTGCATGCCAGAGAATAGCTCTGCATTACGCTCTCCTCACCTACTGCACACTTCAGAGAATAGCTCTGCATTACACTCTCCTCACCTACTGTGCATGCCAGAGAATAGCTCTGCATTACGCTCTCCTCACCTACTGCACACTTCAGAGAATAGCTCTGCATTACACTCTCCTCATCTACTGTGCATTCCAGAGAATAGCTCTGCATTAGACTCTCCTCACCTACTCTGCACCCCAGTGCACAGTAAAACCAATGTTAAGCATTTTTCGTTTGGTATCAGTCAAATGCTCACAAACACAATCTTAATTTTTAAACGTTAAATGTTCTCAAATTTAATTCTTTTATTTTCACATCATTTTTCAAGTCCTGATAATGCAAATTTACACAATTCCGCATTTAGTATGGTCTGGTTTCAAAACATTTACAGAAATACAGTGTGGGGCGCAGAAACTTCCTTTTTGTGAAGACGCATTGTGAAGGGAGGGGAGGTCGCAGAAAAGTGGGG